TGGGTTTGGGGACGAGTGGCCTGCGGGAAAAGGAGAGACTGGGAGGGCCTGACCGTGCTGGCGTTAACCTCTAAAATTCAAGCGTGATTTCCATTTATTTTAATTAGATCACCGCCTGTTTCCTCATCCCAGCCCGCTGAGCCTTGCTTCCCCTGCGGTCGGTGGATAACTGGTGACATACTGGTAGGGGCATATGGAAGCTGAGCATCGCTTTGGCGAATGAATGGGCTCCTGGACTTATCGTCTAACGCCGTAGAATTCCTCCCACCCTTTTGTTTTTGTTAATTGCCGATGTCACAGAGAGCTTTGATCAAGCTGTTTATAGTTCACCGCGCTCCGAGGTGCCTCTTGCAAGACCTCTAAGTAGATAAGGGGAGACTTGGCATTGCTGATATCTGAAAGGCAGACTGACTGGTAAAACGTAAGTTTCTTCAAGGCTGCACTGCGTTTCTTGAGATTGCTAAAGCACAAAAGCTGTTCAAAGGTAACTGATCAGTGAAGTTTAAAAATTATATTCCCGTCTGAAGTTGTTCAGCATTGCTGCAGTAATATTGATATTCCTTGCTACTAAGTCAGAGGAAATATGCCTATTTTCACAAATCTGTTTGCATATACTTTGTGCAGATGACAAGCTTGTGTGTGGTCAGTTTTACAGTTCCTTCTATTTAATTTCTTTCACAGAGCAGCGGGAGGACATGTATATTTCTAATATTGTAAAACAACAGCAGCAAAAATTTGTGATATCTGCGTCATTGTAAGAGGATTTCTTGGCATTGTTTCCCATTTTATTTCCAGTTTGACATTACACACTGTATTATCATGCTGTACTGAAGTTTTGGAGTCCTTAGTTTTTGAAGTTTCATAGCCTACAAGCTACTTGTAGAAAAACAGTGATTAAGCAAATAGTTTTTAAAAAGGTTTTTATTAATAAGTTTTTTGAGCTAGTATTGTCATGGTAGCTGTTTAAATGAAATCAAATTAGTTAGTCTCATTTTCTCACCTAATTCTTGAAAAGAAAAAAAAACTACTCCCATGAAGCACTTTCTCAAATTTATGCATAATGTGCAGGGTCTCTGATACAGGTTTAAAGGTGCAGTATCATGGTTATGAAAGCGTCACTAGAAGATGATGATGCAGGATGGGAACTCAGTATGCCTGACAAGATGGAAAAGAGTAATACAAGCTGGATAGATATAACCCAGGATTTTGAAGAAGCTTGTAGAGGTGAGTTGTGCTGCTTTTGTTCTGAAAAAACTTGGAATCCTTTGGAGGACTAAGCGTAGTTCTTTGATGCATTAAGCAATAGTTTGACCCAGGTTCAAGCTCCAGATGAACGAACTACATTGATTCTCTGTTTCCCTGTGTTTAATTTAACTGTGAGATTGGAAATAGCAGAAGAACTTCACCTTGTTAAGCTCTTCCAGATTACAGAAATATCTTTTTTAACTTAGGCTTTTTTGCACCCACTTCTTTTCTTTGCAAAGATTTCTTCTAATCTCTTCTGCCAAATGGAAACATGATTCATCATTCACCTATGCAGAATCAATACCTTTTTTTACTGTATGTTTTTGGATCTATAGGGCCCAGTTACTTATTCATTTAATTGATCAGTGCATCATTTTTCATTCTTGAAACAGTGCTGAGCTGAGAAGGTATAAGGCATCCCAGTCACAGAGAATTAGTTTCTTCCATTCATCAGTGCCTTTATTGTTACTAGATTTCAGTGCTAGTTTACTGTGACTTTTTCAGCTGATTTTATGATGACATTAGGGAAAAATAAATATAAGTCTGCAACTTACCAGACAGAGTATTTTTTTTTAATGATAACCACAGTTTGCTTATGTTATGTCATCAAGTAATTCCTGTATATTAGTGATACACCATTTGTGTAGCCATCAAATACCTCTACAGGCTTCATTAAAAGTAATAGGGAGAACCAAGCCTTTCAGTAAACTCCCCTGGAAAAAATTAGACATCTGTATAAAGGAGCACAGAAAACTTCTCTCCTGTGTTGCAGGCTGTTCAGATGCTACTCTTTGGTAATTGTAAAACCCCTTTAACTGTTGGAATAACAGAGAGGGAGTAGGAAAGGCTGTGAACAACTGGATTTTTTTGGACTTTCAGTTTTGAAAGTGCTTTGTTAGTAAAAGCAAATGAAGGTGGAATAGGAATGTCTGGTCTGCTTCCCGTACCTTTTCTCTTTTAGCGTAAGACAGTTTGGTAAGTGAAAAGACTTATCCTGGAAAAGTTTTGCTAGAGCAGTGGTTGTAATGATTGTAATTATTTATCCTGTTCTGTTTCTTTGTAGAACTTAAGTTAGGAGAACTTCTTCATGACAAGCTGTAAGTATGCCTGTGGGACAGTTCTTGTTTCTAGATAGGATTACTTATGTTAATGTTCACTAAGAAGCAAGTCACACAGTATCAACTAAGCTTTTTTAAACTTTAAATAAAATAATTCAAGTATTCAGAATGTCATTCATCCTCAGCAGTATGTATATGACTCACCTGTATGAATACTGAACATTTCTCATGGTGCCAGTATAAATTACATTCTCAGTTAATCAATGTAGTGTAAAAATTTATAGCACTTCTTATGATCAGTGGTGTTGACACTACTGAACTTACTGAATTATATTATGTGGACATGCTTTTATAAAAAAATGCCAGAAAGACTAAGCTTTTAAATTTGGTTGCCTCAAATGTCACTAACTAGTATAGGATAAACAGTCCATGTGCTTTAATGTAACGCTTAGGTGACTTGCTAAAATGGAAACTCAGAGCTCTGTAGACTAAGAAAAAAAAAATTCAAAAAAATGCATGTGCTAATGTCTTGCTGAATACATTAAAGAATGACATGAGATTAAAATATTAAAGATAAAAGTTGTTTAACCACAGGAGTCTGTTCACTTGCATAAAGAAAATAGTGCTTATTTAAGACTAATAGCTCAGAAAACAGAAGCACACTATTAAGTGCAAACCTGCTTAAACACGTGCAGGGCTGTCAGCAAGTACTTAGTAGAATCAAAGCACACTTCTGAGATATAATTTTATACATAAGAGCATTTCAGAGCAAATAATGCTTTTCAGAATTAGGATGTGAACACATACCGTTTTTATGTAATAAAGGCTTGTGCTTGGCAGTTATGATGCATATAATGTATACCAAAAGTGAGGCACTATTCCCCTTCTTCTATAGGCCAGTCCTGCAAGTTCTTATGCCCTGACTACAAGCAATTCATTGTCACATGCTGGGTTGTTGGGGTTTTTTTTGTAGCAGTTTTCTTAACATGCCCATTTTGAACAAAGATGGTATACTCAATGTATATTGTTGTCAGTCTGTGTCATGTATATTGCCATTAGTTTCTGGGGGACGTATCTCACTTGGGTCTTTGAATGTAGCACAGTAAAGAGCAGCTTGTTCAGTTAATACCAGTTTACTCTGTGATTTTTAAAAAGATGTTATTATGAAGTGTATAGAAACAGGTGTGTATAGCTTTAGTAATGGGATATTTGGCTCAGGAGTGTTCTTCAGCCTTAAAAAAAAGGCAAAGAGTTTTCTTTTGGGCATCTGTTTTCTTTCTTGCTTGTTGAGAGATCGTCAGATTCCTGAAAACCACTATCTCTGAAGATCAATAGTAATGTTCACATACCTTACCTTATAATCTGTAGTCAGAATACAGTGTACTTGGTTTGTCATCATATTTTTTTATTGGTTTGTGAAGACTGTTTTGTATAAAATAATTACATTCAGAATATGTTCTTTTTATGTTCTTAGTTTTGGTCTTTTTGAAGCCATGTCTGCCATTGAAATGATGGATCCCAAGATGGATGCTGGTATGATTGGAAACCAAGTTAATAGGAAGGTTCTTAACTTTGAGCAAGCTATTAAGGTTTGTGTGACTTTCCTATTTTTGCCTGCACTGTCTGTAACAAACTATGAAACAGTTTTATCAAATTGCAGTTAAGCACAATTAAACATAATTAGTGTTTTCAGTCTTAAATTTGATATAGTCTCTTTTTTTATTTTGTATAGTTAAGTAAGAAATGGCCTGTGATGATTACCTTTTTTGTTAACTTCATTATCACAATGATGCTAACTCTCAGTGAAAAGTAGTGTGAAATTGTTAGATATACATAACCTCAAATAAATAAATTTCAGAAATGGTTTTGCAAGTCATCCTATGCTTCCCCAAAATGTGTGTTTTATATTAAGTTGTATTGATTAGTCCTTTAATATGAATGGAAACCAGCTTCACTACAAAAGCTGGAAATTAACACTTTGAGACTATCAGTTTATTAGCATTGAACAGAAGATCACTAATTTAACTCTATTTACGGTAATGATTAACTTTTAACAAGGTCAATTGGCAGCGTGAGGCTGAAAGACTTATAGTGGAAAAAAATAGTGCCCTCACTAAAGTTATTTTTTTACCATGGACTTTCTTTTGAATGGACTAAGAGAACTCTGTGTAAAATATTGGCTAAGTCATGTAGAACGTATGCAGAATTGCATACATTGGACAAATAAAATGAAAGAAGTAGAGTTTCTGCCTTAGTCTTGACCTTGAAGGCAGTAAAACTCTACAAGTATCTGCAGTGTAAAAAGCAGTCTTGAAAGAATGGGTCCTGCATATTATTCCTTGTTCTGCATGTTGTTTTGTCATTTAAGTATTGACAGTTAACTGGCTGTAAACTTTTATTGGCTAGTCATAAATTGGAAATTTTACTTTAGCTTTCTCTTTGAATATCTTTGTTTGGTCAGTGTTCAGCACAATGATGAGAAAGCAAAGTTTTCTCCATAATTTGAGGCATATGAAGCTGATCAGTAAAACTAGTGGCATACAAGTATTCTGAAGTCTTAACCAAATTTTAATTTTGTTTTTGGCTGTACAAATAATAAGTTGTATTTTGCCTATAGGCTTTCACAATCTAAGTTTTTTTTTTTCTTTGTTTTCTAAGGATGGCACCATTAAAATAAAGGATCTTACTTCACCTGAGCTGGTAGGAATAATGGATACCTGTTTTTGTTGTTTGGTAAGCATTTCTCTGCTCTTACTGTTAGAAGATTTTACTTTCAAAGTATAATCCTTCAATCCAGTTGAAAAGAAAAAAGCAGTAGAACTCAAGTAAAAAAGATTCACCAAGCAGAAACTACATGCTTAGTATTTTAATTTCCATTTAAATATTTGCATTGGCTATTATAAGAGGCATAATTTTGATTTTTGGATCTTGTTTTAATAAATCATTATGAAAGAACTGGTAGCATTTTGAATTGCAGGGAAACTTCAACAGGCCGCAAGCCAAGGTGCTGCAGGAGCTGGGATTCCCATGAGAACATTATTAAGGGAATAAATAGCAGCTGGGAATTATACAAAGGCAATCTTTAAAAGACTAAACTGTGTTATTATTAAGTATAATGGGACCTTGGACCAGCATAAAAGTAGAAGTTCAAAACGCAAAGCACTGGGTGCCTGGGTTACGTTGACTGTAACACTGGTTGAATGGTATGCATGGTGTGTGGCAGGGACACCTGGCCATAAAATGGGACGGGGGGGGTGATGGGAAAGTGCTGTAGTATGTAAACATCCTGATTGGCTGCATAGTCGGGTCCTTCTCTGTAGCTATAAAAGCTGAGGTAGAAATTAAAAACTTCACTTGGCATTCATCTGCTGAGTCAGTTTCTTGTTTTCAGCTCACCGCATTGAATAATGTAAATAGAATTATTTTGGTGTTTGACTGTGTTGGAAAGTGAGTGTGGAGGTAAATGAGCAGTGTGCTATAAGTTCTTTACAGCCAAAATTAACAGCTTGCAAGGTGATTTTGAAGAAAGAAAAGATAATACCTAAATCCATTCAGAAAGGAAATAAGTGAATTATCAGTTGCTTGTTAATTGTGATTTTTTTTCTATGTATATGTCTTAATTTCCTCAGTAAATTATACAAATTATTTTCAGTTAATCTTTAAAATGACATAAATAAAATTACGTTGGTTATTAAAAGAAATTTCAAATTACTTCAAAAAGACATGTAGAGTGACAGAAGTCACTGTATACTTGATATGGTGTAACATAATGTATCTTCTACACCCCCAAATACTGACTTTTTTTTTAAAGAGAGAGTAGTTGTACTGAAAATCAGATCCTACTGTATTTTATGCTATTTCAAGATAGAAATAATTGTTTAAATTACTGAAGCTTTCCCTGTAGCTTAAAGCAACGTGAAAGTAGTAGAGAGAAGGGATCATGAAAATAAGCTGTACGTTGTAGAAGAGAAGATGCAGAATATTGGTGGGATGTTTCCTAGCCACTTGCATTTTTCATTCAGTATTTATATAAAGGAAGCTTATAAATCTGATGGTCTCTTAATTTAATGTCATGTCTAGGTCACAGACCTTAGACCTGAACTTTGTGGAAAAGGTCTATCCAAAACCAGAGTTTGATAGTGTTACAGGATTTAACAACTTACTGCCTGCCACAGCCAGCAGATGAACAAAGGTTAAAGGTTGAGAGATCTTCCCTTGCCCTTTTTTTGCTAGATGGAAGGTTGTCATGATTGGGAGTTCCTTAGTGACTCACTGAAGCACAGAAAGATGGAAGAAGAATGGAGAAAGAAAATTGAAGGCTTTGCTGTCATAAGTAAAACATTTAATATTCTTTTCCCTAGATAACATGGTTAGAGGGGCATTCCTTGGCACAGACAGTATTCACTTGCCTTTACATTCATAATCCAGACTACATAGAAGATCCTGCTATGAAGGCTTTTGCTCTAGGGATCTTAAAAATCTGTGATATCTCCAGAGAAAAGGTTAACAAAGCAGCTGTTTTTGAGGAGGTATGTGTTTCAGTATCTCCTGTTGTTAAATGTGTAACATTATATGTAGACTCCATAACGCAAATAAAACACTGTATTAGCGGAATTTGTTACTGTTTGATTCAAGGATATGGTAGAAGCAGAAGAGATCAAGTATTAGTCTTGAACTCTTTAAAACAAACTTTTCTTCATTGAAGGTGTTGCATACTCTTTTCTGTGTTTTACTTGAGTATTGAAGTAAATATTTTACTCAAGAAGCAGTGCAAGTCTTGTGACTAACCATTTGAAATCAGTTTTACTTGTGGTTTTCTTCCTGCTTAATTTTTTATTTTTCTACTTTAGATAAGCCTGTTTCTTGTCTGAAATGTCCATTTAGCAATGGAGTTAGAGTCTGGTTTTCTGTGCTCAGAGCAATTTTTGTTTTCTCTGAGCTTATACAGGTCACTTCTTACTGATTCTATATAAAGTTGATTAAGTAGTACTTTGCATCAGTAGTTCTTGTGACATTTCAATAAGGTGGCACTTGATGATAATATGAATAGAATACTGATATAAAGGATTTATGCAGAAAGTAATTACCCCAAGCTGGACTGAGGCAGGAAAGGCACCCAAACCATGGGTGTATTCAGTGCAGAATAAAACCAGACTTTTATACTTGTTGTAGTTAAAACCAGAACACCCCTAAAAAAACAACATAACAAACAAGAAAACAACTCCAAAAAAACCAAAACAACAAAAAAACCCAACTTGAAAATGTAACTGCTGCTATTAATATTTCACTACATGGTGCATCTTTGATGTTTTTGGTTTTTTTTAGGAAGACTTTCAGTCAATGACTTATGGATTTAAAATGGCCAACAGTGTGACAGATCTTAGAGTTACAGGTACAGTTTGTCCTTTTATTGTATCTGTCTGTCAGTCACTTTCTCTTTTGAGTATGTTCGTTACTCTCAACCAAACTTAAATTAATTGGTAGGAATCTCAGATGGTTTTTTATTAGTCTTGTGAAAATTGGTGGCTTGGTAAAAAGAGAGATCAAACTATTTTTCTTTTTCAGCTTTTTTTTTAAATGCCTGAGAAACATAAGTGCATCAGCCAGGTGGTTGGGCATACACTTATCCAGGACTGAGATAGAAACCATTGGAAAGCGCACTGCTTGTGTTCTACTTCGCTGCCTTACAGTTTGCTGTGATCTAAACAGATTGCCTTTGAGGAAAAAGCAGTGTAGTAGTGCTAAAGCAACGAACACATGTATTTGGTGCATACATAAGTGTGCATGTTAGCCTTTTGATGCGCTGTTTTTCATGCATACATGAGCTTTCCATTGATGATTTTTTTTTTTAAAAACTTGTTAACACTTTAGGTTTGGATTAGTCAGTCTATATTCTGATTTGTCTGTTGTTGCAAGGCACTTCCACCCTCCCTCACAGAAATATTTTTTGTCTAGTCTTCAGCTAATGGGTGTGTAAAGCACTGCAAAGCTTGATTTCCCCCCACCCACCCCCAACCATCAAAACTTTTCTGCTGAGTGATGTAGGTATACCTAGGAATGCTTTTCACCTTTAATTGTACTGTGACTCTTCCAGGTATGTTAAAAGATGTAGAAGACGACATGCAAAGACGAGTGAAGGTATATTCCTTATGTTTCCTTATGTTTCTTTCCTGACATAGGTTTGGGAAAGGAAGTTGGAGTAAGATTATGAAGAACGTGGCAGTTGTTTGTGGTGTTTTGTTTGGTGTTTTGTTGTCTTTTTATTTTAAGAACTGCCATAATGATTTATGTAACATGCTGATAGTTTGTTTTCTAGCTGAAGATGCTGAAATCTTTAGGTCTTTGTAAACTCTTTAGTAGTTGCCTCACCAGTTATAGACGGAATTATGATGTAGAAGATAATTTCTGTGCCCCAGCCCAGTGCTATGTGCTTGACTTCTGGCTTTTATGCAGATATACTCTGCGATGTTAAATAAGTCACTTAATCTTCCTTTAACACAGTTTAAAGTATAAAACGTGTGTACAATTTCCTGGCTGGTTTGCAGAGTGGACTGAGTCTCATTACTGTAGGAGAGTCTTGGATCATTCAAGTACATAGTTTATATATTAAGAAGTTTTGAACTGATTTTTAGGTTTATTTAACAGGTGGGTGTTCTGGATAGAGTAAAGGGATTTTGTCAGCAGCCTCCTTTCACAGTTTTTAATAAATTATTTTAAATTCCTTTACCTTCTAGAGCACTCGAAGCCGACAAGGGGAAGAGAGAGATCCAGAGGTTGAACTTGAAGTAATGAATTTTCTACTTTTTTAAAAAATTGATTTCATGAATTAGTACTTAATTACTTTAATTAGTAGCTAACAGCCTGTGAGAAATGTTTGCCATCAGTGTGGCTACTACTGTCATGTTTGGGCTGCCCTGAACCATGCCCCTGAGCAAATCCCAGGCTAGCAGGTAGGCTTTTATGCTTTGAAAGGGTAGAGTTCTGGATCGATCCCAATGCTAGAATAGTGATGCTGCTGCAGTTCTACCATTTATGTACCTACCTCTCAAGAAAAAGACATTAGCAAAGTAGGTGGTCTTATCTATCCTGTACCTTCTTCCTTTAGTTCCTTCCCAGCAGCTTTTACTGCTGACAGCCTTACTGTGCTAAGGGAGAAAGTAGGAAGAGAAGGCAAAAGCAGTTTAGCCCTTTCCAGAAAAAGGGGTAATTGGTGTAGTTGATGTGGTTGATTTAGAAAGGTGTGTGTTTCCTTTCCCAGTAATGTTGTTTTCATCAGAAGTGTACTTTTAACATAGATCCTCAGCAAAAAGGAGAGAAAATCAGTTTAATAATTTGTGGTAATTCACTTAAGGTGATATTTGAATGGCATTTACATAGGAGCTACCTAAAGAGCCAGTGGTTGTGCTTTACCCAAGATATCTTAGTATTTTTGTTAGTGCTTTTCTGACAGCAGTACACATTTCTTCTATAAATTCTGAAACTTCAGAATCAAACTTATTTTTAAGACTAGAGAACATACTTCAATAAATCTATAAAAGTTTTTCTTAAGTTTCAGGATTCAGTGCGTATTTTTTAGTAATTTGCAGGATATTTTTATTACAGCATCAACACTGTTTAGCTGTGTTCAGCAGAGTCAAGTTTACCCGGGTACTACTGACTGTTCTAATAGCATTTACAAAAAAAGAGGTATGTTGATTTGGTGTTTGTTCACATTGTGATCCTGTGAAAGTCTCATTTTCTTCGTTCTCTTAAGGTCAAGCAATTGTTCTGTAGGTTCTGCAGATATGAATTGGTATTGCTGTAGATAAAGTGTTGGATATGGTCTTATACTGGCAACCATTCAGTTTTCATTCATTTTTAAAGAAAACATTTAAAACATACAATGTACAAACATTAGAGTCCTAATGTTCTTTTTTTCTGATACTAGTGTTAATGCTGTAGTCAAAATACATTGTGTCATAATGTGAATAACTCTTACTTGCCTTTCAGACAAGTGCAGTTGCAGAAGCTCAGAAACTGATGACTCAGGCTGCTGACTTGCTTTCTGCCATCCACAATTCATTGCATCATGGTATCCAGGCACAGAATGATACCACTAAAGGAGGTATCAAATTTTACCAGTACTTTTCCTTTCTTAAATGTGCTGTCTTGGTGAACTTCATTGTCTGTGTGTATTAAAAAAAACCACTGTTTACTTTGAACTAATAATACTCTTTATACAAGATGTTGCAGATTTGCATTATTTTATTTTAATTTTATTTCACTAAATGGTATTTCTCTTGAAAATGATACTATCACCTCAAAGCTAGAGATAATGTGAACTTTTGATAAGGTGCATTTGCACTTTGAGTGAGTGTATATGCCATTTTAAAACAGGGAACACCATGTCTGTACAGGTGTATTATGAGGTGTTAATGATTGGGTTTTTTCAATAGTAATAATTGTCTCAGTTGGGTAGTTAGTGTCTCTGGAAGCTAACTGTCAGTTAAAAAGGTCATTTTGTCTAATTGAACAGTTCATATTATACTTTCAAGTTTTAATTAAGTTCTGGAAACACAGCTTATATGCAGCTTTTTTTTCTCTCTCTCTCTCTCTTTCTCTCTCCCTTTCATTAGATCATCCTATTATGATGGGCTTTGAGCCCCTTGTTAATCAGAGATTGCTGCCACCAACTTTCCCTCGATACGCAAAAATAATTAAAAGGGAAGAAATGGTCAATTATTTTTCTAAACTAATAGACCGGATAAAAACTGTATGTGAAGTAGTCAACTTAACTAATTTGCACTGTATACTGGTAAGTGACAATATTTCTTATTTATAGCCAAAGATTTTAAAATGTAACTTGCGAAAAATCATTCTTTGTATACATATAGTGTTTCTCATTTGGTGCAATTTCAAAATTGACTGTCTGTCTTGATACTTAATATTTTTCTCTTTTTTTGGACAAAGATGTTTTATTCTCCCATACCTCCCATTTTTCCCATAATCTGTTAAATAATTAGGCATGTTAGTGGTGAAGCCAAAGCAAGTTAACTTCCTTGCAACTCTTTCTTCAGTTCAAGAGCTGCATCTGCAGTAGCAGAACATAATTCCCTGCTATACTCCTGGGTTTTTTTTTCAGATTCAGTAAGCAGTACTCTGCATATGTGCCTATAACACAAGAGAACATTGAATATGTTTGTTTAAGCATGTGATTCCCTGAATATGCATAAATGCCTACTTATGTTCTTTCCTGAATAAGTGATGTTATTCTCTGCCTACATTTATTAGAAGACACTTAAATACTTGAAATACTTTTTATCATCCATGTGTTCCCTGGCTGAGAAAAGAGCCACGGTTACATCAGTTAGATCAAGCATAAAGCTTGTCTTCCTGTTTCCTGTTAAATTAATTAGAGCAGTGTTTGCATGAAGCATCTGGTACCAGTTATGTAACAAAACTGCAGTGTTTATCTGATTCAGTTATGTTGTGATCTTAATAGTTTCACAGTATCTTTTTTTATTATACTATCATCCTTCTAATTGTTGCATCTGAAGGAGAAATTTCAGAAACTTTTTTTCCTGTAAAATAACAAGTAATCGCAGGAAAAAAAAATTCAGCTTCATAATAGGTTGTTTTGTTCACATTATTAATGCTTGCTTACTTACAAGTTGTATAAGCTATGCTATGTGTATATATGTGTGTGCATACAAAATACAGGTGTATTGACGCAGTTGTGTATAGTTGTGTATATATAAAAATGTAAATGTGTGTGTATATAAATTATCATATTAACCTGAATTGTCTTTTTTCCTAAATGTGAATTAGGATTTTTTCTGTGAGTTTAGTGAGCAATCACCATGTGTTCTTTCAAGATCCCTGTTACAGGCAAGTCCTAATCTGTCTCTGAATAGAATACTTCTGCATTCATCATAAATATGGATTCATCTTTTTGTTTCAAATATTTAAAATATTTGCGTATCACCTAATAATACATTAAGTGACAAAAAGATTTCTTGAAATACTTAAGTATTTGGTATATGGAGGCTTATGTCCTGATTTATTATTTTTAAAGCATTTAAATATTTTGTTACTTAGATCATGTTAGTACATGAAACAGTGTTCTGTTCATGTTAGAACAGAAAGTGCTAAAGTTTTTTCTTTGCCATAAAGCTGGGCCTTGTATATACATTTTATTGCTGCCTGAATTTGTGGCTGGTATTTGTATTCATCCTCCCTGTTTTTGACTGAATTTCATGGATAGACTGCCTCTATTGCTGCAACAGTAAAATTGATGGTTAGGGCAGAACGGGCTACTACTTTTCTTCTCACTGCTTCACTTACTTTGAAAGTGTATTTTATTCCTTAACTCAAAGTAAAATACACTTCCTTATAGAAGGTTTTTATTTGAATAGGGTGTTTGGACATTGGAACTTCTTTGTTTAATCCAAATTAAACCATGTATAGAGCTGATGTAGCGTAACTATTGGCGAGTAAAATGTTTTCATAGTGTGTCTTCTGACTTTCCACTATATGTGTTTTTGTAGTCCCTGTGGCTGCCTGACAGCAGACTTTTTTTTTCTCTGGCTGCTCAAGAACCTTATAATGAAGGGACACAGCACTTGTGGAGGAAAGCAGAATGAGCATCAGACATGACCTTATATCTGCCTCTAGGGGAACCACATAACATACGTTTTATGTTAATCTTGAGAAGCATTAGTCTGATTAATCATCTTTAAAGCCCAAGAAATAAAATAATTTTGCATGATTCATTGTCTTATGCAAGTAACAAAGTTGCATTTTCTGTAATGGGAATATGATGGAAGGGACAGATTTCAGTATAACTCTATTTCTGAGTTTGTGACCTTATACCTAGCTGAACCATTCAGTTCTTAAGGCAATCTTACAAGTTTGTGTTTTCTATTAGTAATATTTAAAGCATTAGTTTTAACTTAAAGCATATTTCTAAAACCACTTTCACTTTCAGACAACTTTTCTGGTTGATAACAAGAAGGTGTTTGGCACTCACCTCATGCAAGACATGGTAAAAGATGCTTTGAGGTCTTTTGTGAGTCCTCCAGTACTTTCTCCAAAGTAAGTGGATCTCGAGTTTACTTGCGTGTGTTTACATGTCTAAAGAAAACATACTTGCTTACAAAAGCAAGGACAGACACATAAAGAACATAGACATTTTGTACTTACTAGTGCTGATACATAAAGGAGTAAGTTGCTGTTGCTGCACTGATATTTCTTTTTTATTTTTGTGCCACACAGAGTGATGGCATTTATATAAATATATATGTACATGGATGTTTCCCTTTTAGGTGTTGTCTTTATAATAATCACCAGGCGAAGGACTACATTGATTCCTTTGTGACACGTTGTGTTCGGGTAAGTGTTCATTCCAATTACAACATGTTTCTATGAATATTAGCATTTTGAATATTTGCTTGTTTGAAAATAAGACCAGGTTTTTGTAGACACCTGACCTGAAGGAGAAATTGGAGAAGTTGGGCATCTTAAAATGGTTAACACTTCTAAAAAAGCCACTTGTCGTGGTTTAGAGGTGGGCCAGCCACTAAATCCTGGACAGATGCTCTCTATTAACCTCTCTTCCCTCACCAGAAGGGAAGAGAAAAGAGAATGAGGGAGAGAGACTTTACGGGTTCGAAAATAAAACTAACAGGTTTAATTTAAGCAATAATACAAATACTACAGGATAATAATGTAAAATAGGAAAATAATGAAATACACATAGATATAAAATCCTCCCACCTCCCTCCCCCAATAACATATACATCACCACAGGCTCTGTGGAGCAGGGCACTGGAAAACTCCCAGACCAGACCCAGCAGCAGGTGGGAGCAGGATGCAGAACACACAAATCAGGATCAGAGGCAGACGAACTAAGAGGGTTCTGCTCAGACTTCAGCCATTGCAGGATCGAGACGGATGGAAGGGTCAGAGCTGGAAGGGCTCCAAGATGGAAGAAGGGTCGAGACCCTCGTGATCCCTCAGCTTTATACCGAGTATGTGGGATGGAATACCTAGTTGGTCAGTTTTGGGTCCACTTCTCCCCCCCGTAGGCGCAGACAGAGCACCCATGATGAGACAATTGACCTTGAGCTTCTAGCAGCACATACTGGAAAGACTTGCTGCGAGTTTCAGCAAGTTCAGCCGCCTAAAGAGACTTGAGCTGAAAAGTAACATCGCTAAATAGAAAATTAGTTCTATCTAGCTCAAATCAGGACATCAGTATAATTAATTGCTGGTTTTTTCCTGTACTATGCTTGAAGATTCTTCACTGACATTTCACTTTATGGGAAATCTACACCTACTACTCCTTTATAGGGTAGTTTTGTGCCACAAAACAAGTGCATAGCACTAATAAAAACAAAACTATTTTTACATTCTCCACTTCAAAAATTTAAAAAATCATTTTAAAGGATTGAGTTACTGAATGCAGCACAACGAAGAATCTAAAAAAGAATTAAGTCATTTAAATTGACTCAAGCCCTTAAGATCATCTCCAGCTGTTAGCCTAACACTACCACGTCTGTGACTAAACTGTATCTCTAAGCACCGTATCTACCCATCTTTTAAATGCCCCCAGAGATAGTGTCTCTGCCACTTCAATGGGCAGCCTGATCCAATGCTTGACAACCATTTTGGTGAAATTTTTTTTCCTAATATCCAATCTAAACCTCCCCTGGTGCAACCTGAGCTACTTCCTCTTGTACTATTGCTTCTTACTTGAGACAAGAGACCAACCGCCACCTTGCTACAAGTAGCTGTAGAGAGTTGTAAGGTCTCCCCTCAGCCTTCTTTTCTGCAGGCTGAACAACCCCAGTTTCATCACCTGCTCCTCATGAGGCTTGTGCTCTAAGCCCTTCACTGGCTTCATTGCCCATCTCTAGACATGCTCCAGTGCCTCAGAGTCTCTCTTGCAGTGAGAGGCCCAAAACTAAACACAGTCTTCAAGGTGTGGCCTCACCAGTGCTGAGTACAGGGGCTCATTTCCCTGGTCCTGCTGGCCACACTATTCCTGATACAAGACAGGATGCTATTGGGCACCCGATCATGTGGATTTAGGCATAAGAAATACCACTTACTCCAAATGTTCTGTTCTAATCAGATTCCTAAAGGATGCTCACTCAATGTCATGTTGACTTGTGTACAGAGAAATAAACTCTTGGATCACTCCAGAGGGCTTGCCTGCCTGCCAGCTTGCTGTCCATAGGGAGCCCTAAGGAACCCACCTCCTACTGTAGATATATAAAACAGATGCCTAAATAGACATCACGGTACTCCTCATGTAGCTTCATAGTTGTGTTGAAAATCTAAAACTACACTTTGTTTCTTTCAGCCATTCTGTAGTCTGATTCAAATCCATGGACACAATAGAGCCCGTCAGAGAGATAAGCTGGGTCATATTCTTGAGGAATTTGCCACCCTTCAGGATGAGGTAATGTCCTAGGGAGCAGGCCAGCAAACTTCTTGCCAGGTATATTCCTACCAGGGTGGAGCAAGTTGATACTAGATTCTAGATGAATGAAGCAACTCCTTTGTTTGTTCTAATGATTTGAGGACAAGGATTGCTAAAATACAGCCCAGGAAGTCTGTAAGATGCATCCAAAGACTTTGTTAGATCTGTTGAACAAAAAGGTATTTCATTTTTTTAAGATTAACTTTGTCAAATGAGTAGACTTCAGGGAAACCTGCTGAGATGTCTGTAATTTAATGGTACTCCACTGTTTGTAGTCTGTATGGCACTTGTAACTCTGCCTGCAAGATGTAGCCAGGGAGAGATGGACGAACCATATTTACAAGACACCTTTGAAAATTCAGTCTTGCAGCTGTGTAAGATGTAAATTGCAAAATTTTATAATGGCTTTAAAAAATATATTTAATTTAAATAATAATTCTAAAAAATATGTGCTCCAGCTGATTTTGAACATTCCTCAAGAATAAGGAGTGAAAGATGACAGGGGAAGATATATTTTTACTTGCTGGAAATTTATTCCTTCAGTAGTGAGAGGCATGACATAATAAAATATTTTCCAAGGTGTTCATGCTAAAGAGAACAGTCAAGGAACAAGTTGGAGACTAGGGGGAGATTTTGTGTGCTTGAGCTTTTCTACAGATGGTTTGGTTGAGAGTTTGTTGTGGTACTGCAGATGAAACACACTGGTTTATTACTTGTAACAGGTTATATGGATTAGTTTGTTCAGGACTACTGATAGTATTCCAACTGTGGGAGACATCATGTCTTCCGTAGAATTAGTTTTTAAGACTGAATTGGTCGTAGCAATACTTCAGTTTCTCTGGTGGGCCACAGTGTGTTTCTTCATGTTAAGCTTATAAATTTAATTTTTCAATGCATTAAGTTTAAAAAAAAAAGTAATCACTGCCAATATAGCAAAACAAATAACAGCTTGCAGTGGGTTTTGAGTTTCAGTGCTCATGTGACTGCTAACAATCTGTATATAAGTACTTTTAAAATTTTAAACTTAAAAACCTGTTATTGCTGTATTACTGTATAGAATATGTTTTTTCTCTGTGCAGTAGAATTTACTTACAGTTATGTGAATAACTATTTCAGTCTTTTAATGGGGAGCATGACTTAACTGACCGTATTTGTTTTCAAATGTTAAGACTTTATTTCTGGCAGAGCTTGGATGCTGTTTCCGTTAGATGTTCTTCCTCCAGATGTCTGTTACTTTGCTCCCTTTTTCAATAGGCAGAGAAAGTAGATGCAGCACTTCACAGTATGTTACTGAAGCAAGAACCACAAAGGCAGCATTTGGCTTGCTTGGGCACCTGGGTCCTCTATCATAACCTTCGTATTATGATACAGTATCTTCTGAGTGGCTTTGAGTTGGAACTTTACAGTATGCATGAATATTACTACATATATTGGTAAGAGGATGCTTTATTGACAGCTGTTGGAGGAGGGATGCTCTCACAGAGCTATAATTGCAGATATTTAAAGGAGGGACTTCAACTATGATTTTTTTAATCCCAAGTTTGCTCAATGCAGTATTTAGCTGACCTAGTCACAAAATTACAAGTGGAGAAAAAAAAAAATCTGTTCATCTCTTTTCTGGCCTTGCTAGATAATGATTTTTTTTCCCCTGAAATAGTGATTCACTGTCTGGTTAGCTAAAACAGTATCTTCTAATGACACTGAGTGAAAAAAGAAAGCGGATTTTGGCAGATGGGAGAATGCAGGAGGAAAGTAATTTCCTGTATTTTGTTCTGTCTTTGTAGTACCAAAATCAATATTATTGTTGATCTCTATTATATTTTAAAATATCTTCAGAGTTTTAAGTTGTGGTTGTAATCTGGAAGTTGGCTGGGTAAAAACAACATCTTATTCTGTGAGCATATTTGAAGAACTGCTTTTAGGGAAAGTGATTGCAATATATGTATTCAAAATACTTTTTATTCTTCCAGTTTTATTTACACTAATTATTTTTCATACTTGATGACTTGGTCCAAAAGAGAAAGTATTCTATATAGTGTGGTTTTGATCCATCATTGAAAATTTGATGTTAAATTTGATGTTAAAGTGCTTCTATACTTTGGTGTTTTGTTTTGGTTGGGTTTTTTGTTTGGCTCGTTGTGGGTTTTTTCTGTAAAGCTACCAATAAACTCTTATTAGGTTCTCTTTCTGAGAAATCAGACTGGTTCAAATGATTTGAACTTCAGTGCATCTCGTTATGTTCCTGTGCTGTTTCATCAGTGGAATGAGCATTGAGAAAATCAGTACTCCAGATAGCTACCAGAAGATGGCAATATTCTTTAAGTAATACCAAGTTTTCTGTAAGACAGTATTTCACTTGCCTGCATTTCCCCACACCATATTAATAAAATCACTCTTAATTGGAACAGTTATGTCAGCTGCTTCATCTCCTTACTGTAAGTGAAGAACAAAAACGAGGAAATTTCTGAGGGGAAGTGTGCAAATAAAATACATAATTATTTTGCAGTATTTTTTCTTCTGAATTATGTCTTCTTATGAAATACTATTTCTTCTTCATGTGCTCCAGATCTGTAATTTCTACTCTTGTTTTTCCTCTATTCCTTTGATTTGAAATCAGTCAAGAGATTTATTGGACTGGCTTCCACTCACTAAGAAACTGTTCTCAAAAGAATATTTAAAGATTTATCTTAAATCTTAAAGAATTGCATGTGGATCCTGTGTTCCTGTGGGTTTAGCCCATTTATTTAATAGTTCATGGCTTTTTAATGCCTGAAACAAATAGATGAAAACCTTGTTTCTCAAAACTAATTTAGATTTCACTTAGTCTAAGAATCTTGCATACTCTGAGCTGTCTGTGGTTGAATCTCTAAAGCGTCTTTTTAAAAACAAAACCTAATGAACTAAACAAAAAACCCAACAGAAGCAGAACACAGACTAATCTGTTGATTTTAGCCATGACTAAGAAAAGTTATCCTTTACTATTAGTTCTTTGAGTAAACGACTTGGCATTCAGTGAGGATGTGTGCATTATGAATCTCTTTTTCACTGTAGTATGTAACAGCTACATACTGTTTTTACTGTAGGTATCTATCAGAGTTCCTCTATGCTTGGCTGATGTCAACACTGAGCCGTGCTGACAGCTCTCAAATGGCAGAAGAGAGAATAATGGAGGAACAACAGAAAGGCCGTAGTAGTAAGAAAACAAAGAAAAAGAAAAAAGGTATCTAGGTGTAGAGTGTAACTTTGACTTTTTTCCCCTTGGTGCAGTCACATAGAATTAAAATTCAAAACTTAATGCTTAAGTGGGTAGGAAATACATCCTAAAGTTTATAAAGGTTGAATGTGAAACTTTTTAACTAAAAAAGTCAGTTGCTGCATAAGAACTTCCCATTTATTTATTTCCTTACTTTTAAATAGATCTTTCAGAAAAGCATGAACTCATAACAGCTTCACCAATTGCATTGGATCCTGTGAGATATAATTAACAGGTCCAGAGCAGTTACCTTTGAAAAATGCAGCCTTTCTACAGTCTATAATTCCTGCAGAATTACGTTTTTTGTGACTGTAGCTAGAATCAAAGACTAAATTTTTAGCATATTTCTGTGATTTCTTTGGCTTCAGAAGGTGCTTAAGCATGTTTGTTTATTGTACAATAGTGAGTTGCCCTTTTTTCAATTCAATGGTAGTACTGTTCTGCAAAAGCCCATTTAGAAACTCATGCTTTTTCTGGTACATATGCATGAGAAAATATGAGAAATTCCCTTCCTGTATCATAGCACTCTGGCTCTGTGATCAGAATTGTAAGCTTGCTACCAAAAAGACATCCAAAACCAGTGCCTAAATAGCATTTGATACAGATTTGTTATGCCTAAGTGGCTACTAAGGTGGTGTTTTGGAATTACCTTAGCATTAACAACACTTTTCGTTCTTTGCAATTACTGTTTTGTGTATCCTTGTCTTCTTTTCAGGGGGAACAATTAGATACGAACAGCTAAAGGTCATATCAACTAAATTCCCTTGTCTCTAGAAATTCAGAAAATTACTGCTGTATCTTATACTTTTTAAAAAGTTGTCAGGTGAGGAGCAATTTGGCACTACTTAAAACACTCGAAGGTAAAAAGGAGATTAAAGGAATATTATCAGACTAAAACTATTTCTTATTAGGATTAAAATACTTTAACTTTTAGTCTTAAATTTAAAAGAATCCATAAACTATGCAAACATGCCTCTCAACTACAAGCTTTGAATTCTAGACTATTGTCTAGTGTTGCATAGTGACATGGTAATACCACTGACAGTCTGGACCAGTTTATTTCACTGACGGCAGTATGGTGTTCATGTTAAGTATGTCTTGAAATATGTCACTTTCTGAAAAGTTGAAAGAACTGTTCTGAAATTAATATCTGTACTATGTTGAGTAAAATTCTCTAAGTTTTATGTGAAATTTGCAGTTCGCCCTCTCAGCAGAGAGATCACCATGAGTCAAGCATACCAAAATATGTGCGCTGGGATGTACAAGGTAATTTATTTGTGCTCGCCGAACAGTGGCTTCCCTTTTTTTGTAGTAGGAATCATGCATATATTGCATGCCTTGCTTTCAGTGGGACTGGAAATTAAGTTCAAGTTGTATGTGATACGGTAAATTCTCTACTGTTTTTCTGTCCTCCCAGTTATAGCTAAATCATAACTTTTGTCTTGCTCACAGCAAAATATGCTGTAACACTAACACTCTTCACTATAGTTATCCTTTCCTTTACAGACAATGATTGCATTTGACATGGATGGTAAAGTAAGAAAACCGAAGTTTGAACTGGATAGTGAGCAAGTTCGATATGAGCACAGGTTTGCTCCATTCAACAGTGTTATTACACCGCCCCCAGTGCACTACTTGCAGTTTAAAGTGAGTAATCTTAAAACATGGTGCCACTTACGCTTTTATAAAAGTCATTTGCTCACCTGCTTTAAACACCTTTGTTATTGTAAAAAGAGCCTTTAATATCTCAAAGTTCATACTGAAGCCTAAATCAGAACAGCAAGGAATTCTAGCTTTAGTTGTGTGCAAGAAAAGTGCATTGCTTTGAATTCTTACTAAAGTTAGACTCTTAAATAATTGGTCTGATATAGTGGTTTGAGATGCTTGAGTTGGTTTGCATGAAAATAGAATCTCTTTAGTCTATTGACAGACTTTATGGTTGTGGTTTTTATAGCAGCATGCTTTTACTACTGCAGCAAGGAAACAGTAAAATGAAACAAAAGAAATTTTGAGTGTTAAATCACAGAAGTGTTGGTTGAGAGAGCCCTGTGGAGGCTTGTCTTGTCCAGTCTCCTTGAAGTAGCACTACAGATCACATCAGCTATGTCTTTGTTTAGCCAAGTCTGAAAGAAATCCAAGGATGGTGATGTATTTTTTTTCCAACCTCCTTTCCAACCTTCAGTCTGACTCAGTTACTTTTCCTGGTCCATTTAGTCTTTGTATAAGTTGATCGAGGACTATGCCATCACCTTTTTTTCCTAATATCTGGTCTGAATTACTCAATCCACAATTTGTGGCTTCCCCCTGTGTTATATTGTCTGCCATTAACAAGTACTATTTGTCTTCTGAGAAGTTTGTAGCTGCCTTTCAAGTCATTGTAGGCTGCTATTAAGATTACCCATTAGCATCCTTCCTGTTCAGCTGAAAAAGTCTGTGTCCATTGACCTCTCCTTGTGGGTTATGTGCTCCATGCCCCCAGCCATCTCCACATCTCAGCATCTTCCTTGAAATGAATGGGTCCAACCCTGGATGCAGTATTTCGGATGATAAATACTGAGTACAGGATGATAACCTTCCTTGATTTGCTGGCCATACTCTGTTTGTATAGTCCCATATAGGGCTTGTGTGATTTGTAGTGAGAGCACCTTGTTGGCTTGTATTTAACTTGGTGTTCACAGTAACCCTGCTACTCATGCAGATGGTTATTAGCCTCTACTAATTCGTGGAGTTATTCTGCCTCAGGTGCAGAAATATAGACATTTTTTGTTGTACTTAAATCTCTGTTGGCCAGACTTCACGTTTCTAAAGGTCTGTCTGAACTGAAACTGTACTATTTTTTATGCTAGTCACCTCCCCTAATTTAGTGTTATGAACAGCTGTAGTGGAAATTAGGACTGTCATGGCTTCCTCCTTGTCATTAATTTTTTTTACCCCTAATACAAAAAAAAAAATTTGGAAGTATTGAAATTATATAAAATGAAGTTTTGAACAGTTTCAGTATCTCACTTGCTGTAAACATGATTTGAGTAAAGTACTGTACACTTTTTTCTCCTGTTTTTCCTGTAATTTCACATACTGCCACATAGTACTATTAGATCAAATGAATAACAAGCTGTTCAGGAGAGGGATTATTTTATAAAGAGTATGAGAAGTTAATTGCATTTTGTGGCACTATAAAATAATCATTAAGCAGCGGTATTTTAAATAATTGTTTTCAGCTTCAGTATTACTTTGTAATTTATGTTAGCCAGATAATATCTTTTCTCTTGAATATAGTAATTTGTTTTCATTTAAGGTGGAAAAACTATTTGTTGGCAGGTGATTTTAATATATATTTATATATTTCTGTAATATGCTAGGAAATGTCTGATTTAAATAAGTACAGCCCACCTCCTCAGTCGTCAGATCTCTACATGGCAGCTAGCAAACACTTCCAACAAGCTAAAATTATTCTTGAGAATATTCCTAATCCAGACAATGAGGTAAGACTGAAATACTGCAAAAATATGTATTTGGATATAATATTGGGGTTTTTTTCAGCTGGATCTGCTTGAGATCTGAAGTATACTTCAAAATGCTGAGCAAAGTTGAGTGCTTTGATTAAGGAGTGGATGGAGGAGGGAGGTGGCATCTTACACAGTGGTTTGTTTCAGTACATTAGATAACATCATCAGAGTTGTGCTCACTGTTCCAAAACCTCTCCCTGCTGAGTATTTGTTGTGGTTTAGGGCTGGGCCGGCCACTAAATCCTGGACAGATGCTCTCTATTAACCCCTCTCCCCAGAAGGGAAGAGACAAGAGAATAAGGGAGAGAGACTTTACAGGTTTGAAATTAAAACTAACAGGTTTAATTTAAACAATAATACGAATACTACAGGTTAATCACAGAATCACAGAACGTTAGGG